CCCATTCATTAGTACAGGCCCACATAAAGTAAATTTGACAAGTGTAGACTTGCATTGTGCTTTCAATGAGAGGCAAATACATGTTCTGTACATCCATTGAGGCATTCGCAACATGGTCATTTCTACCAAGAGTAAAGACACATCAATAGTGTTTCCATATTGAACTGTGTCATACATTGAATGAATTGTGCTACCTCCTGGAGGCTGTTGGAAGTGATTGGTGTTGGTAGTCCTTTCACTCCGACCGGAACAGTGACCACAATCGATGGCAAAAATTGATTTCCATTGTTGCGTTTGCATCTCTCAAAAAATGAACTGTGTGTGTGTGCTGCAGATCCTGTTTAAAAAGTTGCTTGTCAATGGCCGTCGTGGCCATCAGGGAAATTCGAGGCCTGCATTTAAGAGCAAACCGAAGTCCTCCTTACAAAGACATTAGAAATAAATACTGTGCCTACTGTACATGTATGTGTACATCTCCTAAGGTTGTTGGGTTTAAATGTTCAGATCTGAGACTCATGGTCCGCTTTTGGCAGTCATTACAAACATGAAGGCCTACTATTGCATATGTAGGTGTACAATTTCATTGAGGATTATCAGGGTTTGATATCAGACCAAGATGAAGAGAATTTGACATTCCATTGGGTCCAAGTGTGGCTGAAGAGAGAATTAATAAGATTATTACTGATTTTGCAAATTTGTATTGGGAGTCAAACTTTTGGGTTCAGTCAAGGGTCACTGTTCATGGCATTAAATAATTTTCTGTCTGCCTGTAAACACTGAAATCTCATTGGCATAAAATTTGTATGGTGTTGGATACATGTATTTATGATAAATGGGAGGTTTGTACACGTAATTTGACTTCTTTGTTGAGCCTTTCACACGAATATGCAAGTGCAACAATATCTTTATCAAGGGATGTTACATTTGTTTTTTTTTTTATTGAAATGCTTCCATTCTACAAACCAAGAGAAAAAAGCTGCCCCCTCGCTGAACTGCAAGCGAGTCATGCTGTCTGCCTCTCCTGATCCTTCCCTTTTAGAGGAGTAGTTTTGGTCATGGAATTAGTAATCTTTTGTAGAAAATGCTGTTGTAACAGTACGGTTCAAAAGTACGTGACTCTATGGTAATTTCTCCATGCCTGATAGAAATACAATGTACGGTACATACTACCATCAGTTCAGCCTGAAAGTAG